TTAGTCCCCATCTGGTTTTGGAAAGGTTCTATAAACTGATCGGTGTTTTTAATTTTATTATTTGGTTTCTTTTCATCTTTGTTTTTCCCGTTAATTTGTCATTTTCATTTTTCCTATTAATTTTTCCTTTCCATTTTTCAATCTTCTTTTTTCTTTCTTTTAAATTTATATATTCTTTATTTTTGCAAACATCTTTTCAAATTCGTGAGAATTTTCTCAAATCAGGAATATTTGTTCGAATCATGAACTTTTTTGAATTCATAAATATTATTCATAATTTTTTTAACATATTTCAATTCATAAACATGTTTTACAAACTCGCAAAAAATTTCTAAACCGTTTTTTCAAATTTGTGGGCATTTTTTGAAATCATGAATGATTTTTAAAATCGTCAATAATTTGAATTCGTGAATAATATTGAACATTATTCTAATTCACAAACATTTATAAAATGGTATACATTTTTCAAGTTACTGAACATTTTATTTAAATTCTGAATATTGTTTTGAAACTCTGCACATCTTTTCGAAAGTTGTGAACATTTATTTGAACCAGCAAACATTTTCTGAATTTCTGGAACAACTTTTGGAATTCACCATTATTTTTTTTTCTTTTGACGAACATTTCTTTTGAACATTTTTAGAATCAACGAATCATATTGAATAAATGAAATTTTTTCATGAACATTTTTTGAGTTTTCAAGCATCGGGCCAAATTTGCGAACATTGTGTAAATACGCAATAATGTTTTCAAAGGCAGGAAGAGGTTTTGATTTTCAGAACATTTTTAAAAACTGTGAACAGTTTTTGAACTTGCATTTTCTTGAAAAAATATCATGATTGTTTTGAATAGGCAAACATTTTATTATTTTTAAAATCTTTTTCTTTAAAATTCAGAATTTTGTTGAAATTTAAACTTTTTTGTAATCTTGAATTATTTTAAGAAGAAAAAACAGATAATATAAAATGCAAAAATGTAGCAAAATATAAAAACAAAAAATAATAATGAAAAGGGGCATACCGCGCCTCATGGGGTGGTATTACTTCCCGTCGACAGTTTTCTTAAAAAAATCTTTATATTGACATATGTATGGGTTTCCTCCTACTCTATTTTCGTTGATCTGGATGGTTTGTGTGTTGGCTCGGTTTTGCCTACACTTGTGTGTGGTATGCGTTTTTGGAACTCGTGATCATTTTTTAACGAATGAAGACTTTTAGTATTTGGGGAACAAATTTGAAATTCATGATCATTTTTTTTGTTTTGAAAAACCTTTTTCAAAATGCATGATTTTTTGTTCGAATTCATGAACATTTTCTGAAACAACGAATTTTATTGAATCAATGAACTTTTCTCATGAACATTGATGAACTTTTTTTGAGTTTGCAAACATTTAGTCAAATTCGCGAACGTTGTGTAAATACGAGGCCAGTTTTTTTCGAAATCATGAACATTTTTTGATTTTTGGAACATTAAAATGACCATGAACCGTTTTTGAATATGCATTTTTTAAATAAAAATCACAATTTTTTTGAATCTGCGAATATTTTATGATTTTTTTAGAAATCCACAATTACTTGAAATTTTAAAATTCTCTGTAATGTCGAATAATTAAAAAAACAGAAAAATCTAAAAATAAAAAATGGAAAAAAATCTGAGATGAAAAAAGGGGGCATCCCACCCCACATGGGGTGGTATTCACTTCGCGTCGACATTTTTCTCAAAAAAGAAACTTTCTATCGACTATCTAGGAGTATTATCTACCCCTTGCAGAAATATCTGGTACTCCCCCCCCCCCTAGGGTGCTCCCCGTGCTCCAAAAGTCGGTAGCACATTTTTAAATCTTCAGAAAATTCTGAAAAAAATCCAGCACGTTGACACAACATCAGAGTATGTTGTAAAAAAATTTGAAACATAGCTTG